TACTTCAGGACACGCGGTACAAAACATTTCTCTTTTTTATATAGAGAACCTATAAGAACAACCAAGTTCAGCCACAACCTGAAAAATTAAAGAACAAAAGTAAGGAAGTGTACTGTTACAAAAAATAAAAACGAGTTTTGTCTTGCTCTCTGCTGAACAGAGCCGCGCCGGTCCGGCGTTCGGGGGTCTGGAGCTGGGGACCCCCACTGTTGACCCTGGTTTGGTTGCAGGCCAGCAGACGGACAGGTTTTGGTCCAGAGGGTTTTCATAGAACACAGCTGATCATGTGTGATTGATTTTCCTCTCCAGATTAAAAGAAGAGCAGCCAAACCTGCAAGAGATCCTGTACAGCCGCTATCGTGGTGAGAGCTTTAAAGGGGTAACTCTCAACATCACGGCAGTCACATTTCAGTCCGTTACCCCCTGACACCACCACCAGAGCGGCCCAACCAGTTCTCAGTGATCACTTCATCAGTCTGATAGTCCCAGAAAAAACAACAGGGAAACTTTTCTTGTAACCAGGAGTTTACTTACCGCTGCACTGCTGGCGTACGGCTAACTCTACGTTGGTTTATTATAGACTCTCGTGGCGAGGGGGTCCTTAGTCGGGGCAGCAACTACGATCACACTCGCTTTCAACTGTACTTTCAGTTTTAATGGTGAAGCGTAACCTCTGGTCTCCATCAACAGATGGCAGCAAAATCAGACTCAATCTGACGGTCGTCGTACTCCACCACGAGGCACATAATAATTAAAGTCATGTTTGGTCTAAGGACCTAGAGTGAATAAACTGATTGCCAGATAGAAGGTTTAACGTCCAGAAGCTCTTTCACAGAATAAAAAACTCTCTGCTCTCAATCAGGATCAACGAATGTTTTCTCCTGCGGCCACCCCCCCGATACCACTCTGTTACATCATGGCCTCCGTCACACTGACATGGTGGTAACGTGCCGTAACAGCCTCACCGATTCCTGTCAGAGTCCAAACACCAAACGTGAGGAAGATTCCCGAAGGTCTCAAATCTTTTAAACTTTATTATTTTAGCTGCATTTTAAGAAGCTCGCGGTCCGAACAAATAAAACTTCAACATCTGCTGAAAAAATAAAAGTTCCCAAAAAAACAACCAACGCACGGAGAGAAAAACAGCAGTTTATATTTTAACTCTTCAAAATGTCCAAAATAAAAACTGACCTCTGCAGGGAGGCGGAGGTCAGTTTGTGTCAGTTTTCAACAGGAAGTAAAAATAAAACCCGATCAGAGTTCACGTTTCCGTCTGTTTCCTGCTCTGACCTCACCAGATGAAATCATGTGACACCGCTCACCTGTCTGTTCTCCGTGTGTTTGACCTTTGACCTCTGCAGCAGCTCGTACAGTACCTCCTCTGATTGGTCAAAGCTTCTGGTTGGTGTAGATTGTTGAGGTTAAATCTATTGAATCCTGTTTATTGATTAATGATGCGTTCAGGTTCCGCAGGTGAAACTGATTGATCGATCTGATTGGAAGGAATCTGATCATTGATTTCTACAATCTGAGGATTTTCTGTGTTTCTGAAGCTTTCTGTCAAACTTCATGGACTTCATCAGCGGATGGAGTCGCTCCGTCGTCATGGAGATGCTTTTGTTATAACGTGATTTGAGTATTTTGGTCGCGTCTGAACCGAAAACGTTCACTTGTTTTCAAAAGCAGACGGTCGGTTTTATTTTGGACATTTTACAGATTAATCAATAACTGATCGATGTAAACAGAATCAATAAGGATCAACACACAGACGTCCTCCCGGTGTGACAGACAGACGGACAGTTGGACAGCTTGTTGCCACAGTAACCCTCCTCTGTTTGTTTTTAGTTGATGGTCGAGCTTTGATGCTAATAGTTAATTTTTGTATTTTAATAAGAAAAAGGAAAAAAGTGATTTTATGTATTTGCATGCACTCCGGCCGTACGTTCTTTCTTCCGTATGTTTGAGCACTGTATAGTAGCTGTATAGTAGCTGTCTGAGGTTTAGATCGAACTCCGCTCGATAGAGTAGAGACACCGAGAGAGAGACAGAGAGAGGACGAACCGACGAAAAACCAACAAGTGAATTATTTGATGTAATTACTGATATGGGATCCTTATTTTCTGAGTTCCTTTGTTTTCATAAATAAACACATAAACTGACTCGAAGACTCGACTCTCATTCACACAAACTTCATTATGTCCCAATACAAGGCTGCACACACCTGTCTGTAGCCATGGTAACGGCTGAGCTAATGTTTATCAGGTGAGTATCAGAGCGTCAAG